AGGATTTCAATAAATGTCTTTTAACTACACATGCATTATTTCAATTTTAACTAATAAAAAGTATGTTGGCATAGTATTGCATAATTACTGTAGGAACAGCAAAAGTGATTAACTATACTGGACCTACAGGGTTCTGATAAAGGACAGCAAGCAAGTCTATAACTGTACAAGTTAGTCAGAAAATATCAGCATCTTAACATTTATACCAATAAGCATTAAGTACCAGAAAAGGAGCATGAAAATGTATTCATAACAATCCACCTTTTCTAGAAGCATTAATTACAATTTATTGTACTCTATAAACGTTAAATGATCAGATTTAGATGTGACATCAAACTTATTTTGCCATTCCAATTGCTATCTCAGTTTCGTGAACTTATATAAGCAGTAACTTTTCATATTTAGTATAGACATGAGAATTTTTCCCATCTAAGGGAAAAATGTGCAAACTGTCAGAAAAAAACAAACAAAAAAACCCCCCCACCCAAATATTTCTCTTACCCAATAAATGCACCTAATAAATCTACAGATATATAAATATATATCTGTAGATTATATATACAAAAAGTCCAAAACACTGACATACCCTGGAACTCAGGATGTCCTGCATTCTTTGGAGCATCCAGCAGCCAGTCGTTGAGTGTCTGGTTGCGAAAAGCAATGCTTCGAAACTGTTTACCCCCATTGACATTCCAGGTACCGATGCAAACACGAATCTGCTTGGGCCTTGTGTATTTATGGTAGTTCTGACACATTCCCAACAATACTCTTGGAGATGCTGCAGAAGGGAAAGGATTTGAATTAAAATGTAATTCTACAGTTAGTTTAGTAAGTTTATGTATATATGGACGGCTGCACTCAGGGTAACAAAACTAGAATGGGAAACGCTAACCAAAAGCAACAAAACCAATGGAAATATACTATGAATGAAGACCACAACAATGTCATAAAACATGGGGCATGGGAGAAAAGGATGCAAATCAGAGTGCTGAAATACAACAAAAGGTTCACATAATCAACCTTGGTAATGGTTCACTGCTGTCTGTAAAATTCCACTTAAAGGCGTGTTACATTTCAATGCAAAATTAAAAACATCTTTTTTTTAAAAATTACAGTTTAAGAAGCCTGATGATATGCAACAGATAGTCAATTAAACCACTACCAACACTGGTTTTCAAACAAATGGAAAATAAAAAGTAAAACAAATTATAGGACAAGGTTATGACAGGGTAGAAAAAGATCCATCCACTGGGTAGCAGTCTGCCAGTTACTATACCTGATTGTAAGACAGGCTCAGTGACTACAATTGTGTGCGAAAGCAGAGAGGGAGAAAAGGGAAAGAAGTGTGGGTTAACCAGCGCTGTAACAGTTAATACTGGCAAAGCAGTCAGTCAGGCCGGAAGAACGTTAATATTAAGCTTCCCACTTTAGTGACACGGTAGCTTTTGGCTAACAGGGCTATAACATACAGGAGCATACAGAAAACGTATCTAAGCAAAGAATTTTCTCTTGATGGCAGAGAAAGAAAATTATATTATGAACATTAAAATGTAACTATTCACCCAAAAATTTTAGGCAAGATACATCCACTAATCCAATGACCCCACCCCCAGCATTTACCATAAAGACTGGAAGTGGTGAGCAAAGCCCGAGCTTTGTCTGCCAAATCACTGTTGAGTGTGGAGCCTAGCCTCAGGATGTCTATAGCCTCCTGCTTTGAACTGTCAAAGAAGTTGTTCTGGATGGTCCGAGTCACAGAACGAGCTCCATCTTTCAGCTTCCCCGCCTACAATAACGACAGGTATTCACACACAGTGCAAAAAACAATTACATAAAGCCACCTTAATTTTTAACAATGCTCTCATTTGGTGTGAAGAGTCTGTACTTTCCGCTCCAGCAACAGAGAGAACAAAAGAGGACCACTTCAGAGAGATCAAATGAATACAGTTTGTGAGAGAAGAACTTTAAAATGTCACTGATTGATGCGCAAGACCGTTTGATTTACAGACACTGATAATCTAGACTGATTCCTTCAGGTTCCAAGAAGATATCAGACAGTGCCCGATGATCATTCATTTTTTTCTTTTCATATTTATGTAAATCAGTGATGAGATCTCCATGGAGTGTCCGCAGCAGGTTTTTCTAGGACAGGGAACCCTCAATGGCAATACGACAAAGAAATAAACAGAGGTCTGAACTAACCCTCAATCATCATCACCATCCTCATTTAACCCAGACATGGAAATCAATAATTCACCACGACGGCTCAAAACAAAACATCAACTATCTTGTTAACTTACCACACAGGTAGAGAGGTCCAGAGGACAGCCGAAAGAGACAGCACACAAGAGTTAAGAAACAGAAGCACACAGTTCTACACACAGAAGATCAGCTGTCCATGCAGAACTGTCACTGCAGGTACTACATGCCCATTATTTATATTACTTACTAAGTCCATACTTGTATTATAAACTGTAATTTATGCTTTAATATCCAAGTTAAAACTAACATTTTAAAATTCATGTCAAATAGGATAGGATCGTTCCTATTTTTAATTACAGCTTTTTATGCTTCCCCCTCTGTTTATATACTAGAATAAACCCATCTTTGGTTCGGTGCATGTCTATCCAGTAACATGACTGCAGTTCAGACATATCAAATGTAGATTATTAATATTTAAAAGGTCACACACTTTAAATATTAAAAGTTGTGACCTATGTAATAGTAGTAGTAGTAGTAGTAGTAATAAAAATAAAAATAATAATAATAATCATATATCCAGAAGCAACAATTAAAGTTTGCTGGAATATGCTGCGCTTTATCAGGTAGGCCATAATCTAGCTGCTGGCAGGGAAATTGAAAAATTATTTGAAGTGCTTCCATTGTGAATTACTGCTAACCTGCGTATCGTGTGCATTTTTGCTGCAGTAAAAGTCTGTACCTTGGCCTTGCCATCCAGGGCCCCGGTGCCTGCATAGATCTTACTGACGGAGTCACCATTAGCGGACCACATGGTCCTAAAAACCTCTTGAAACCTGGCCACCAGCTGTGGTTTCTCTGTCAAACCCATTTGTTCCAACTGCTTAGGCAGCATCTGAGGAAAGGAGGTTGACAGGGGTCAAACTAAAATCCTCTTTAAAGACTACAGGAGCAGACAAGCTCAGCAGTACTCTTACCTCGAGAGCAAAAAAAGCTTGGACACTGTTGGTTCTATCCAAACAATCCAGGCAGTTGGTCCTCATAGTCCCTCCCTGAGTCCTAAAACCACACAATAAAGAGTTATTGCAGCTTTTTTTCCCCCCCATCATGTACACTTAAAACTTTCACTGGTGACAATGGCACAATAAAACACCTGTCTACACAGGGTATCATTAAAGGCATTTAACTTATTAGTTTACATAGTGCTAAAATTGCTGCATGACTTGTAAACATATCATGAACAGAAGCTTCAACTCAAATAATAATCAGATGCAACTAAAAAAAAACAAAAAAAATTAAAAGGTACAAGGGAATGTTTGGGGTTTGATTTTTTGCATAAATGAAAGTGAGTGTGTTTTAATAGTAACAAGAAATATTTTTAAAATATCCATCCTCTTCCACTTATCCACTTCAGTGTTACAGATTACAGATCTCTCATGGGGTAAGAGGTCGGGTACACAGGCATGCAAGCACCAATTTCTCACCTTAATATCCCAGTTTCTCCAGAATAGTAGAAGAAACCACACTCTTCTACGAATTTGTTGAGCTGGGGCTTGAGGACACTGTGAAGTTTGTCTGCCTTTCCACCTTTCACATTCTGATGGTAGTCAAAGTTCACCATTTTCACTGCTGAAGCATGTTCTGATGCTTTCAGGTGACTCTAAAATGGTGAGACAGGTAGACTTACTTCCTCAAAATCAAATCTATTGCAAAACTATTTTGCATGCAAGGTGTGTTGCCTTAACTGAAGGGCAAATTAATTTGCATTGCAAATCATTGACCTGAATTCTTGAAGTATGTCATAGTAATGTGTGAACATCCCGGTCGCATAGTCAGAAACCATTTTATATATTTTAAACACAAACTCAGCTCACTGATGACATCAACAGCATTTATGGCAATTACCCCTAACATATGACACCTTAAATCCCAACATTTCTAGCTGGTGCTAAACATATAACATCTTTTGCATTTGCAGCTATATGGGGTTTTATACTTCATTAGGTAAACTTCCTGTGTGGTTTGAGGGCAACTACAAGACCACAGAAAAAGACAGGGTTCGAGATCTTATGATAAAGGGTAAAAATAGAGGATGCTGTGGTGTGTAAAATATATATATGTAAAATAGAAACAAATGAATAATGCTCTTTACTGACTCATTCACCCGAAAATACAGTAAGAACCTGAGGTAGTCTTTCTTGAGCAGCAGTACCCACCCACTTGAATTTTTTTCCCCTGCCCTTATGGCGTGGGCTTACGTGGACACAACAGAGAGAATCTGTTTGAACACACATAGCTTACTGCTAGTGTATTTTGGAATGTCATCCTCAGATCACTGTTAACAGACAATGTATTGACCTCTCACCTGAAATGCTTTGCTGAGCATGTGTTCCCCTTCTTTACTTCCAAGCAGGTTGATTATCACCTGCTTACCATACAACCGCCTCAGTGCAGTAAAGTGTCTGCAAAACACACAATCTGATATAGTAAGCACTTTATAAAAATGACATTAAGCAGATTTATCTTATCCTTTACAAGTTTTGCTTAAAAATAAATAAATAAATAAAAAATTTCATACTTTGTAACAATAATTAGGACAGACAAATACAAATGACTCATCTATGATTAATCACCAACAGCCTAGTTTGCATCAAAAGTCCTCTGTCACTGTAGCAACCTTAAGACACAACTCTGTGGCGTACTGTTGTGCAAACGCGAGCGCTTCACCCACATTTGCAACTTAAATGGGACCTGTAATAAAAACTTATTTAGAAGCAGCGTATGAATAAATAAGTCTGACAACATTAAACTCACGCAGCCCTCTGTTCTTAACAACAACACTGATAACACAACAGCAGCAGCAATGATGAGCCTCTTTGCACACTGAAGTGCAAAGTGGCAGACTCGTTACTGAGATTGTGAAAGAAAACGTGTTCCTAGTGTCCAAAACAGCAGCACTGTTCCTGTAATCACTATTAAAGCCTTTATGGAGAAAAAGCTCATGGGAGTCCTTCATCAAAGCACCTGATCAACAAACTAACATGAAGAAAAGCCAACTTTTTAGCTGCTCAATCCACCGCAATCTGTTTTACACAGCGAAAAATTGAGGCTGTGACTGAAAAGGGATGTGAGTAACTTGTTATAGCTTTGCAGATCTTGACAGATCTGAATCCCACTGAACACCTATAGGAGACAAAGACAGTGCTCTTTATCACCACTAAACACCAAAAGAGGGATTCTTTTATAAGAATGGTGTTCAATCCCTCCAGTGATATTTGAGAGTTATGGAGAACTGTTGAGGTGCTGTTCTGGCAGCATCTGGTGGCCTAATACTTTCTAAGACACTTAATATTGTCTGTAGGTCTCTTATCTTAATGTTCCTCACAGCTTAAGATCAATATATCCACATGTAGCTCAAATGTTCTCAAGCTGTTCAAGCAAATGTTCAAAGCTGTTCTGAGCCACACTCTCTTGTTCCATTGTCACTTGTAAGGCCTGTTCCTACCTTTTAATCTACCTTGCCCCTCTTATGAGATTTCCTCTACAAATGAATGCGGGTCGAATCCAGAAAAAGGACATTTCTATCCATGTCAACCAAAAGCCTGCACAGGACCTTAAAGCCTGCCTGGAATTCTCTTCTGGTTATTTCTTACAAGGGGGTTATAATCTTACTTTAGCCTGTCTGTTAACACCACTGTTAAGATATGTGCTGAATTAAAAGTGATATGTAAAAGCTTTGACTGCAGTCATATTAATGGAAAAGAATACATGTGTAAAAGCAAAGCTTTTACAATGACATTCTTGGCTGCAAACAAAAACTAACCAGATATCACAAAGGATGACTCATCATCCCTTTGCTGAATAGATATTAGAAAGATTAGTAGCCCTGACAACTACTTAGAGGGAAAAAACAAATAATGTGTTACACAGTACTAATGATTTAAAGTCTAATATACATTTATATTCATAACTCCATTAAAATGCTCCACAAAAAATGAGCAGAATCCAAAAGATCTGGAAATCAAAGAAGTGCTGACAGAACTCTGTAAGACATATATGCTGGAATGCACAGTGAATGACATGGCTACTTTGAGACTGGTTGGGTAGCTGCTGTGGGCTGATAAGAATGGAGTTCATACTATCAAGGTGTAACCCACAGATTCGGGTCATCATTTTTGTTCTTGATGACCTGAGTGTACGCTTCAGCAACAATGCATTGAGCTTAAAGCAAAGGAACTTGCAGCTCTGTTCTGTTGTTAACCCTACAGCTGTAATGAGCCAATTCACAGTGAAATTCTAGAAAAAAGAAAAAAAAAAGTTTCATTTTATAAAGACTAAAGTCAAATTGTTCTTATTGGGAAAAATCTTAACTTATTTAATGCTTATTAAAACATTTCTGTATGTAAAGAAACATTTATTTTTAGCAGACGGACATTAAGACATTGAGAGCAGTTTCATTTTTCACTTTTTTGATATTTAAATTTAACCAAAAATTATTGTATTTAATGAGGCACAAATAAAGATAGCTGTCAAGAACACACACACTAATAAACCAACCTCTGAGGACACACTGCAATTAATGTCTTCTTCACAAACCTTAATAGTTTTTCTCTACTGTGACGAGTACATGTGATATACAGGAATAATATAGCATTTCCTCTGTGGTTCAGAGGAGTGGCTATCTGTGGTAGGCCAGATAAAGCTGCAGGAAACTGCTACACACAAAAAGAGCTGTGCACACAAAACAATTTAATTACCTTTCAAATGCCGGCGCATTTGCCTCAAATCCCCTTGAGAGTTTGACACGATGAGAACCAACCTGGAGAGACACAAGTCACAGTGTCCTCCTTTGGTGAAAGATACAAAAAAAGTCTGTTTTCTAAACACACACACATTGCAGATGACCAGAAAACCTTATGATGACAAATGGATTTCGGAAAGAAAGTGTAGACACTTGAAATGAGGAAACGAGCTCTTAATAGGGCCCAAAAAGAGAACTGCTTAGGAAAAGAGCAACATAGGTGCAGAACGGGGAGATTTGTTCCAACAAAAACACTGAGCAGCAGATAAATGATATATTGTAATTGATCAGCATTTTCCCACATTTAGCCTCTTTTTCTCATATTAATTCTCATTTTGAAAGTATGCTGATACTGAGCAAATCATCAGTCTCATAGGCAAACATGACCACATGAGCAGACCTGGATAGGCTTTGCAAGACATTGGCATTGTGAGTGTACTACGGAAGTCTCTTGACTCTGCAGAGCATGTCTCTTCTTGTTCCTTTGTTATCCCTACCCATTTCTGCCTCACTCTGAGTTTACATCTTCTCTTCTCATTTGGGCATGGTGGCTCAGTGGTTAGTATAGCAAGTAGTCCTGGGTTTAAACCCAGGAAGGGCCCTTGAGTTAACATGTTTTCTCTGCTTATGTTGGTTTTCTGTGGTTTCTCCCACCATCAAATAACATGGCAGCTTAAGGCTGGCTATCTGTGCCCAGGACACTCTTGCAAAAGAGACTCTTAGTCAGCAGAGTTTTACTTCCTGTATAAACAAAAGTTGATTCTCTCTGTGTTCAAATATTTCTCTTACTGTCTGTGACAGCTTGTTAAAACAAGAAAAATTACAGCAACACTCCCTCATATTTCAGCTAGCGACTCAGGATGCTTTCTGGGTCTAAAACAAACTAGTTTCTCTGGAGATAATACTGAGGTCTATTACTGAGTACTGATTTTCATTGTGTTGTGGAAGGTTTTTACTTCCCTAAGAATCTTATATTTCCCTTTATTCTGCAGTGTGTGTTGAGCTTAGAATTAATCTGCTTTGTTTGCTTCTATGCGCCAATGTGGCCAAGCCTGGGCATGTGTAGAAGGGCTAACATTTTTGCTCCATGCTGTTGTCATTTGTCACTTCTCTCTTTCTCTACTGTTGAGCAGGTCTATGCTTTGCATATTTTATAACTTCCTGAGATGGCATCTGAAACTATTCAGGTTACAGCTGTACAACTCAGACCTGCAGAATAACTGCGGTCAAATCAATTTTCTTACTTGCTCTGAATTCAAAAGCATCTACTGTTCTAATATGCAACGTTAACTAAATAAGCTTTGTCACCGACTACAGAGTTTTTTCACATTTCGTCTACTAATCTATAAAGCAGTAACTTATTAAATAAACATTTTCAAAATTATTTAGAATTAACTAAGAGGGATCAACCAATCACTTTAATGATTTACAGCCTTAATACTACACTACAAATATGATTTGTAGACTAATTAATATCTATGTCTAATGTGCATTAACTGAGGAAAAAAAATAAATCAGTAAATTTTACCATTGATAAACCAAATGTACAAAACCTGCTCAGGAGATATTAGAGAGTATGAGGGGGAGAGCTTAAAAGCCACAACTGGTGGGGATGAAGATCTAAGGCAGTGCGTTAAAGCAGGAGGACTACAGTTTTGTCTGAAAACAACCCCAAGCCCAATACCCAGTGTTTTGACCAAACCAATGACTTTGTGGACTGAATAAGTGATTAATTTGATTTTAGCTTTTTTTAAGAGCTCCTGCAAAATTGAAAAGCTCTGTCCATATTATCAAATTAAATACTCATCCAGTTGCCTGGTGAATATCAGCGGACACAATGAAGGGAAGTGCTTCGGGAATGTTTTCAGATCAGGTTCTCTCACCTGACCAAAGATGTCTGGGAGCTGAGGAAAACAGAAGAATGCCCTTTACCAAACACTATCACTGTCATTAACCTCCCCCACATCTGATCTAATATTCCAGACTGTGCAATGTCAGGATAAAGGGAAGAAAATCCCACTTGTGTTCTTTGTGACGCAAATTAAATAGGTGATTCCACTTCCTGATCAAAATAACAAAAATGTTTTTACTCTGTACAGATACTGAGTATAGGAAGAAAATTCCATCAAGGGATTCCCCAATTTTCACAGATATCCTTTGTCATTGCACAGGGGAACACCTATCTGCAGTCTGAAAGCACCAGCACCAGCAAAGCCAAAAAAACACAACACAAACAAAAAAGTTATACCAGGTGGAGGTTCTCAGCCAGTCTATTAGGGTGCCGATTCTCATTCAGTTGCAACAAAACACCCTTAATGGACTTTTTCTGAACACAGCAACAAAATGTGTTAAAAAGTGTGTGATAAATATATGCACTCCATTCTCTTCACACTGTGTTAGACAGACACATCTGCCATGTTTAAACAGTAAAACTTTTTTTGGCTTGTTCTGCAAATGACCGGTGCCAGTTTCATC